CAAGTCAAATATCACAAACCTTGATCAATTGTAGTATTAGACTAATGGAGTTGGATGTTAGTTTTAAAATAAAACACGGAGGAAAGGTTTATGATCTAAAAACAAGCAAGCCACCAGCACAAGGAATATTTTAAAAGAAAAAAAAATTCATAACATTTGAGCATGGAAGTACAATTTTTTCCTACTCCTGAGAAGGGATAGGGTGATACTATTCCTGGAATGCTACCTAGTAGAGAAGAGAATCTACGTTGCCCCCTTAACAAGTCAATTTAAAAGGCACAGATAATGGTGAAAGCAGAAGTAAAATCTCAATCACCATAATAAAAGAGAGATATAAAATCCATTTGACACTACCTATATTTAACAGGAAGCAGTATATTTTGTTTTTGGAGAATAAAAAGTATATTCAAAATATATACAAAAATATTTACATATCTATAAAAGCGTCGACCAAATCTCCAAGATCATCACCAGATATAGTGGTTGACCCCTTAACTTTTTAGAGCTTTTTTTAAAAAAATAAGTGGTTGACACCTTAAAAAAAACTTAACGCCTGAAACCAAGAATCTTTGAATCTACCAAAAGAATATTCTCGTTAAAAAAATATTTAATTAGGTTAAAGGGCATTAAGAAAAAATATACCACATGCAGTTAATGTAATTAATGGTTTATTTTCTTTTTTATTTTAGAAAACTTATATATATATAAAACTATAATATTTAATGAAGTGCACATTCAACTATTTTCACATGGTATCAAAGATCTATGTTAAGAACCTCTAAACTTTTTTACAAACTCTATATTGCCTTTATTACTGAAACAACAAAAACCCTAAAAATGAGACACCAGCCTACATAGTAGGCCACTTAGTCTAGCCACTGGCCGTCAGCAATCAAGCTAGCTTTCTTCGTCTGTAGCACCAGAAAAAATAGAGCCACAAGTCACAGCTCCTTCTCCTGCAAACAGCCAAGACCTCCTCTGCCATTAGCTGTGCAACCTGCATTTGCTAGTCAAAAACAACTGTCCGCAAAGCCTCCAACCAACCAAGCTGTGTGTTCCATATGCAATCGCGCAATCCAGCCTGCAACTGTTCCCTGCCATGTGTTTGCCTCCAGCCTGGTCCAAGTCAGACAGCCACCACTTCCCTAGCACTGACCACCACAAACCAGCTGTCTCCACCGCAAGCTGGACTTCATAGTCAGCCCTAGCAACCAAAACCTTATGGTGAGAAACAGTCAGAAGGAATCGCTCAGCTGTCAGCCACCAGAACCGCACGCCTGTACCTGCACAGTCCCTGTTCGGCTAGCCCTGCCACAGCCACATGCCCAGCCTCCTCAGCCACACACTGCCAATCGTGCGTAGACTGAGCCATGGCCGATCCTGCTGAGCACGTCTCTATCTTGATTATGTCCAAGTTCTACATCCTACTCAACCACTCCAAGCGGTAGTTCTGTCCAGGGCAAATTGTCGCATTATCTACTGACAACATCCTTCTCATGACCAAATTGTGCTATAACTCTCGAATTAAGTTAGATGTTACATCCCAAACTACAGGAACAAATTCCCACATGGGAAACTTTACCTGAAACAATAATAAATTTCAGCCAATCCAGACTGCTTATTGTTCTACCGAGAAAGACTATTTGAGTTGATGGCAATTAATTCAGATCACTCTCAAGGGAAAAAGAATGCTCAGCCACCTCTTAGCACTGGACAAAACTAGGGTACGCTACCTTTGATGTGTGTATGAGGAGACTTAATGATCACAGCATGGCTGTGGAACTCTACATCGCTAGAGAAGTGTGAGATACAATTAGGAAAACCTATTATAAAGTCAAAGATGCATCCCACATTTACGATTTGAATGCCAAGATGGTTTAGGAAATAAGAAAACATGTCAGTCACTAAATATTCTAACATGTTAAAAAGTTAGTAGTAGGCATTGGATCGGTACCGAAGTCTTACAATAGAATGCAGAAAGATGAAGATTAAGTCTATCAGTTTTGAACAGGATTCAATCAGGAGTTTGATTAAGAGTGAGTCCAAGTCTTAGACAAAGATGAAATGCCATCACTAAAAATGAGATAAATGCTATCGTATTAGCAAAAGAGAGCAGGAGAGGGATCATGTTAGAATCCTAGTCAATTGATAGTAGAATCCTAATCAATTGATAGTTCAACACTAATCTCCAATCCCCCCCAAGCCATGCCAATAGACAAAAAAAATTAAGCCAATCAGGAAATTCCGGGTCTAGCGCCGATAACAAGGATAATCTTTATGTATCTTTTGCAAAGAGCCAAGACACATCAAGATAAATACTGGAAACTCCCTGACAAACTCAATACCTCAAGCAATAGTTGAGGATTACAAGAACACTCCACAAAAATCCTGCAGACATGCCCATGTTACCCACCAGAAAGAGGAAGACAAAACTACTGATATCAATGAACTCAACACTGAGATAAAACAACTTGAAGAAATTAGAAGATCTTGAGAAACCCACTAGTAGGACACTCAGGTATGTTTTCTTTCTCACACGAATGAGTATTATATACTAATATTTGCATCAAGGAGGTGTCCGCCCATTTGTAAAAAAATTACAAAATAATCAAAAGTGTCAAGAAGATATGGATATTGAGTTCTTTACCCTATCATTCCTATCACATACTCAACCACCATCACAAGAGAACCCACAGAAACTACTGGAAGACCCACCCACTCAAGAAATTATACTTGACACCAAATTCACTCATTTGCATACAAGGAGGAAGAACTATGAGTTTTGAGTTGAAGCAGTCTGGGAATCCAAGAAAAATTCTAGACTAAGGTAAGCTCTGAAAACCTACAATATTCAATAATGATATACCCATTACAATTTGTAAAGAAACTAGGGCATGCATTAAATATCCCCTTTATTCTATCTCACAGTTTGTATCATTTAATAAATGTTCACATTCCCACAAAATTTTATTACAATTTTGAATATTGAGTCTCTCTAACACTATCTTTAAGACATTATCTTGTGAGAAATGGAAAAAGTAAAATTAATGTTAAAATGCCAGTATTAGATAAAAACCAAACATGAGAATCGACGGACTTACCCAAAGGGAAAAGACATATGGGTTGCAAGTAGATATTCACAATAAAATACAAGATAATAGAAAGAATATAAAGCAAAACCAATGGCAAAAATATATACCTAAACTTGTGAAATAGATTATCAAGAGATGCGTGATAACTAAGATGAACACGATGTGGATCTTGCTATCCTTAACTGCTCATTTTAATTGATAACTACAGCAATTTAATGTGAAGAATGCATTCCTACATGATGATATACAAGAAGAAATCTATACAGAAATTGCACCAGGATTTGATAGAGGGGCATAACCATATAAAGTTTGTAAATTGAAGAATGCAATCTATGTACTAAACAATCACCTGAGCACGGTTTGATAGATTAGCAAGGGTGATGACAGGCTTGGGATACAAGCAAGCTCAAGAGGACCACAATTTGTTTCTCAAGCATTCTGAGACAACGGAAGTTATTGATCTTTTAGCATATGCCGATGATATTATTGTAATGGGAGATGACGAAAAAAAAGGAGATATTGATACTCAAGCAATGCCTGACTAGAGAATTCGAAATCAATGAGTTAGGTAACTTAAAGTACTTTCTGGGAGTTAATATTGTCCGCTCAAGATCAGGGATATTCGTCTCCTGACAGAACTACATTCATGGCTTATCAAGAGATATGAGCAAACTAGCATGTAAGTCAACTAGTACTCCTACATTGCTTAGTTGGGAGACTAACAGAAAATGACACACCAATAGATAAGAAGATGTGTTAAAGATTAGTTTGGAGACTGATATACTTGTCACACACAAGATACGATATTGCTTATGCATTAAGTGTTTTAAATCAATTCATACACAATTCCAAATAAGCACATTTATAGGCAATCTACAGAGTAATGCATTATCTAAAAATGTCATCTAAAAAAGGAATTATGTCCATAAAGAATGACAAGTTACTCCTAAAATTCTATATGGATACATACTACACAGGGTCAATGGTGGACAGAAGATCGACCATTGATCATTGTATCTTCCTTGAGGCAACCTGGTTACATGAAGTAGTCAAAAACAAAATGCAATTGCAAAGATGAGTGTAAAATCAAAATTTCAAGTCATGACTCAAGGAATATGTGAATTACTATGCTAAAGAAAATTTAGAAGATCCGAAAATCAAGTGGAACAGCTCATGCGCCTATACTATGACAATAAATCAACCATAAGCATTGCCTATAACCTGGTATGACATGCAAAACCAAACATATTGAAGTTGACAAATATTTCACCAAAAAAAAGCTAGACAGTGGCTTAATATGCCGACTAACTCAAAGCTTGCAGGTGTATTAACAAAAAAATGAGCAATCCAACATCCCGGATTATCATTAGCAAGTTGAGTATGGACAATCTCTATTCCCCAACTTGAAGGAGAGTGTTAAAGAGAGTATATAATTAGATGAAACGGCATTATGATAACATATATCAAATGTAATCAATGTAACTAATGATTTATTTCCTTTCTATTCTAAAAATTTGAATATATAAGACTTTAAAATAAAATACACGTTCAACCATTTTTCACAATTCTAAATTCTCAAATCTCTTCTATTCCTCTCCTTCCAAAATGGCGCAAAAGGTAGCCATAGAGTGTTATCACTCTGGATGCCTTTCCACACCCACAGTTCCTCTCTCACTGTGTCAACTATTTGACAAGAGGCAACTAGTTCATATTTATCATAGATAAGACCAGAAAGACATACCAGTCGGATATGTTGCTTGAATTGTAGGCACAGGAGAGGTTGTAATTCCACTAACGCTAGGTCCACCAAACTGCAAAATTTGATGACCGGGAACTGTATATCCATGAACTGTTGTGTACCCATGACCACCAGGAATAGTTTGACCCAATTGACCATAGGGATAAATAGTCGTATTAACTGTGCCGGGTAGTCCATACACCTGAAGGTATTGCTGTCCCATATAAGGGTTATACACACCCTACCACAGGTACCCAAACATAAAATCAGATAATCACCGGAAATGTAAAACAGTATTAATTGTCAGGGAAAGTAAAACTCCAAATGCCTCTGCCAATAGGAGTCTTTTTACCTGTGGATAGACATATTCAGGTCCATAGCCAGCTGCATACCTGTACAGGTTAAAAAGCCATTAAATATTTTGACCAGGATATGACCCAAACATCATGGTTTACTGTCAGATGATAGCTTCAGAGACAATATTCCATAGAGATAAAAATGCACGCGTATCACTTTGTTTTGGTAAAAGACCACCTAACAATAACGTGCTCCTATACTATCAATAAGACATCTCAAGCTAACAACCCAAACCATCAGGTTTGCTTTTCCTTTTTTTATCCTAATTTTGTCTTTTCCAAATATATCCATGACCTTGCCTGTTCAAAAAACATTGAGCCGGGGCACAAATCCTCTGCAACTACCATTTTTTGCATTCCTGCAATTACCAGTCACCATGTCACATCACTGTCCTTCAGACTGAAAGATTCCTGACTAGCATGGAAATAACAAATCCCTTGACCAACTAAAACTCCTAACCTAAGTGATATTCCATGTCTGATTTCTATATGAAAGACTTCTAAAGAAAAAAATGTAGGGTATCAAAAAGAGAGGAGAGAGAAAGTATATGCATAAGATACTTGCAATAGCTAATTGACGTACAGTATGGTTATGCACGTGTGAAGTAAATGCAGGGCATGACAGATTCATACCAACATAAAAATCCAAAGTTAAAATTCTTATCGGACAGAACTTTGGAAGATTCCATAATTGATACCAACTAGCATTGGGTCACGAGAAATGACAAAAGAATGAGTTGTCAAACATTTTAATTTTAGTAAGTAGCACAGAAGGCAAGAAACGAAGACTCAAAATTAATGTACAGAATCTATTGAAAAAAATTAGTTAGTCCCTTAAAAATCTGGAAACTTTTTCATCAATTAAAAAAGAAAAGATAAGGAATAAAACTTTCTTCAACTCACTAAGCCAGGCAAAATAAGCTGAGTCAGATCGCAGACTCAAAATACCAGTTTATTTGCAACTCACCCATAGGGAGGATACATCACTCCTTGGTGATAGCCGTATGAGAGAGGCTGCTGATAGCCAAAATTTCCAACATAAGCTCCACGGGGCGCCTGCACACTTCCAACATATGGGGAAGCTGGTCTAAGACGTCCTACAAGAAACAAAATAAATGAGCTGAGATATACTTGGGAAATAACCAATGAAATTTGTTAAAAAGGTCAAGAAAGAAAGGCAACGGAAACTCTGCAGGGTCATAGTTTAAAAAAGGAAATAAATCTCTACTGGGAAAAGAAAATGCTAAAATTAAATGCAAAAAGACATTGATGCTTATATGAATGCAAAAATGCCGTATAGAAAGTAGCCCAACTAATTAATTTAATAGGTTTTTTGAGAAAATAAAAAATTTTAGGTCGAGATGTCCCTGCAGGCACATATATATTGTGCAAATGAGTAGCACATTTAGACTAACCAGGCAAATTAGATATGATACCATAAGGTAGAGATGGCCGAGGTCGCCCAAGGGATGCCAAATTACAATTCGCACGCCTGCCATCAATAACCGGAGTTGGATCAGCGCAAGCTCTCTTTGCGGCCTCTGGTTCCCGGAAAGTCACCTACACCCTCCATATAAATACGAACAAAGATTAAGTCATACTCCAGTAATCAAAAGACACCTTTTTCATTCATAGAAACGTCTGATTGCAGACATTAATAATAGCAGACAACGGATACCATGGTTAGATTCACCAGTTTCCCACCATTGAGAATAAAACAAAAACAGAATTATTGTTATCCAATTCGTAAATGATTTGTTAATCCAAGCGAGTAGATGCTGTAGAATTTCAAGCTAGAATCAGGAGAACTTTGATAATTAACAATGTTTACAATGGATATCGTTATCGGCTAAATCAGCGAAATAAGAAAATACTCACAAAACCATAGCCTTTGGATCGGCCGGTATTCTTATCAGTGATAACGACGGCCTCAAGAATCTCACCGAATTGCTCGAAATAGCGACGCATGGTTTCGCTTTGAGTTTCCCAGGCAAGGCCCCCAACAAAGACTTTGGTGTATGTAGTGTCTCCAAAAGGGGAATTCAGGTATTGAAACCCAGAACTGGAACTTGATCCCGAGCTTGGACCCGGAATCGGCTGATACGCCATGAATGAGAAATTTCACAGAGAGAAATCGATTGAAAAATGTAGACGAGAAAAAGGGCAAGATGCTTAAGAAGAGAAACGATGGACTTGCAGAAGACGAATCCTAAGTTGTACTAAAAATCCACCCAATGCATGATTTCAACGACAAAACCCCAGAAAAACCCTAGATAAGGACGAGATATACCTAGAATCCATTGAATTGAAAGGGGATCAAAAAGGAACATGAAGGGTTACGCTATTTTTCACGGGAAAAGGAAAAGATCGGAAAGCCAAGGGAGGTGATGGAGCCAATAGGCCTTAAGAATCATAATAAAAAGAAAAAAAAGGCGAGTAGAGAAATTTCTTTTTTTAAAAAAAGGAGAGAGAGAGAGAGAGAGAGAGAGAGGGTGAGAAAAATAAAAACCCTAGAATTGAGGGGAGATGGGCCAAAGGTGGGTGAAGTTGGTGGTGGGATTCAATGGAACATAGAGAGCATGTAGTGGGCTTCGGCTTGTATTAGAAAAGGTGGCGACTGGTGAGGGAAATATATTGCGAAACCAAAAAGAAAGGAAAAAAAAAGACAAGAAGAATCTTTTTGAAGTGGATACTATTAACAGTAGTAAAACAAAGTATATACTGATTTAGTATAAATGAGTAGTAGTAGTGAAAAGGGGAAGCCAAAGGAGAGTTCGAGTCCAACTCCACCTTCTTCGTATTTTCATATTTTGGTAAAAGAAGAAGAAGAAGAAGAAAAATGATTATTTACACGGGAAGAGCAGAGAAACAAGGAAAGAAGAGAAACGAAGAAGGAAAAGAGAGTTCTCAATGAAAGCGATATAGCTTAGGAAGGTTGTCATGCGGGTCCCTTCTCTCTCTCTCTCTCTCTCTCTCTCTCTCTGATGTATGTTAAGACGATTGCCTTTATCGACTACTGATGTCTAGAGGTAGATCATACAGACACTGAGTTGATATATATTTACAAACATCCATCAGTTAGAGTTATAGTATTTATTTTTATTTATGATCTATTTAAAAATATATATTAAAATTTTAAATTCAGTCGGAGTTTCAGAAACATTTACAAGCTTTCCTCTCTGATAAAAGACAAATAATCCTTATAAATTACGTTACTAAAATTTTGTTTTTAGTGTGATAACCTCCACATAAATTGTGGATTAGAGTTTTCAAGTAATTTTGTTAATAGTATAAGAAGAAGTGAAAAAGAATATTACAGATAGGAGAAGAGAAGAGAGAGAAACGGATAAGAGTTGAGGAGGAAGGGGGACCCCATCCCAAATCAGATTGTCGCATTATTATTATTTTTTATTTTGATTAATGAGTATTTATTCTCTGTCGTCAACCCCATAGTAGCATACATGCAATCCCTAACATTTTATTATCTGTCTGTCTCTCTTAAACGTGGAAAATGTCAAATACATAGGTTCAATCTATTGGTGGCCACGTATGAGTTCAGTAGCAGAGGAGAATTAATTATTATTAAAAAATTAAGAATGATAAGCTTAATTTACCTAAATAATAATATAATTATAATTATGTTTCCATATTTTAAGCATAAGATTTAAACAAAAGAAAGATGGGCATGTTAGAATTGGTTGTAATTGTCTAATTGACTATGTACCAAAGAATTAAAAGAATCGCAGTTTACAGATAAGAAATTAAATAAAATGTAGTGGCATAATGTTTTCAAGTAATTATCATTACATTATTTTTTTTTAAAACTTTCCATCCATCAACTCCTGCGAGATTTCCTCTTTCCGAATCGTAATGCCACACCATCCCCTAACTTTTTTTATTTTATATAAATTATCAAGTTATTCACCATTTTTAATATTTTTTATTTATTTTATTATTATTATTATTTTTTTAGAAAAAAAAAAAAGATAATTCCATCAAAATATACTTTTTGTCATTTAATTTTCGTATACTGTATACCAAAACCAGAAATATTATTGAAGGGAAAGATGAATTGAAACCACTACCTAGTGCATTTCTAAACTGTAACAAGAAAGAAAATCTCAACAACAATCATTAAAAACTTACAAACTTTTAGCTTCTGTAACAACAAAAATCGGAGTAGCAGCTTTGGAGTACCCAAATAAAAAGCACTACTAACTAAAGTTTAAAACCTGTTTGGAAACAAGTCTACTGATAGTGTATTATCAACTATGCTGTTTGTAACCCATAAACTCCAAGGCCCGCCAAGGACCACAAGCTGATAACATAAAATTACCAACAATTTCTCTTCTAATCCAATATCCCACCATTTTGGTAGCTCTTGACGGAATCCACTAGAGTTTCCTCCAATTCCCGGTATTTCCAACCCAAATTCTGCAACTTCACTGAACTCAACAAACCTTCCTCCTCCGCCACCTCCGTGAAGCTGCAATTTATAACCAGTTGTATTGAAAGTTATAATTTTGATATGGAGTGAAAAAGAAGTCCATGGTTGCACAGATAATATGCAGCACAGGAGGCTTGCCTTTTAGGATACTTGTAGTGAGGAAATAAACTCTTCAGTTTATCAACCAGATCCCTCATTTTGATCGCATGTGCCGTGCATATGTATCTTCCTTCAGCCTCAGGCTTCTCGTATAACAAAAGCACTGCTTCTGCTACATCACGTGCATCCACAATTCTCAGGAGTCTGTTGTCCTTTGACTCGAACCCTTCTGTATACACCAATTGCAGAAAATTATTGTCAGAAATTCTAACCTAATAGGGATTCTTGGTCAGATGAAGAGCTCAACTAGAAGTTAGAAACAAAGACTTAATGGGAATTAGTGATCTAGAGAAAAAAAAAAAAAAAAAAAAAAGCCAAGCTAGATTTATCATAAACTTTACTGATAAATTAGCAATTTTACATTTAAAGAAAAAACATGCAGTTACCCACCATGCATACAACTATTGTACTCATACTGGATAGCTAGTGGGCATCCATTCAGGAATTAGGATATCCAAAAGTATGATTTTAATCTTGTACATCACCAGAAAAGTTCAGCATCAACAAAAAATAGCAAGCTGATTTATGGGAATCTCAGACTGCAAGGCAAGATTTTCTTTGTTGCTAGCATCATTATCTCAGAATCTAATATCTACTTTCACATTCAAAACTTTTGACCTTAGCATTTATGTGATTCATCAAATACCATTATACAACAGTCAGAACTTCCACGCACATTTCCACCAGAAAGGAATGTAATGAATAAAGACAATTATATGCAGATGTCCAATAAAGACAACAGTAAAGATTTGAGAAGAGTAGACACCTCTCAAAAGCTTGATGAGAATCAAGCTACTGGCATTTACTGTGGGCTGCAGAAGTGGCCCCCAAATGATAGTAGGGCAAACTGTAACAACATCAAGCCCACTTCTCTTTGCAAACTCAAAAGCCTCCATTTCTGCTTCTGTTTTTGAAAGACAATACCAGTTCTGGTTCAAATACAGAATCAGACATTCAGTTGACAATTACATGAACCATTGCTCAGAACCAGAAAATAGTTTGCAACTAAAATAAGAAGATTAATGCACAATTGGCTTCTGTGAGAGTTCACCTTCGTTGTCCGGCAGTATTCCTTGTCAGACCAGCATGTTTCATCTTTCACTTTATCTTTTGGCCATCTAGGGTTCATGGAAACTGCGGCAACAGAGGACACAAAGACAACTCGTTTAACTTTTGCTTCCCTGCACACTTGAAGTACATTGAGTGTACCCTTTACAGCTGGTTCAAGCACTTCCTGCAAAGAAAACAGAAAGCTGGAGAATCCAAAATGAAGTGAAAATAATTTTGGGCTAAATCACAAACAAGAATAAGACCATAATGATTAGTTACTTCCAAACATGCTTTCAGTTTTTTGCCTTCTTTTATCTATTATATCAGTAATAATTCCCGCCAGAGGATGTAACTATACAGAAGTTACAGTTCCTGCTGCAAGAAACATATTAAATATATAATCCTAAGATGTATAGTGATTTCATCGTATTAGCATCAGCTCACGGGTTCATTAACTAACTTAATGTTCTCGTAATAAGATTGGACAATGCGGTGCGTTTTGGACCTTGCTTTCTTGTATATATAATAATACAGATTCATTTTGGTTGAGTCAAGAAATACAGAAACAACAATGCACAGTGTATATACTACAAGAGAGCAAGGTCCAAAATGCACCGTATTTGTCCAATCTTAACACAAGAACATTAAGTTAATAAATTAACAAGTTTAACTAACGCTAATACATCAAGCTAATCTGGCAATCAGGAATTCTTGCCTCAGGATTTGGAACAACAATAGACGGAACAGGAGAGGCAACATGGAAGACACCAGTGCATCCTGTGATGGCTGAATGAAGAGATTCGTAATTCAGCAAGTCTGCCTTGAAGAGTCTAAGATTTTCTGGTGCTTTCTCTAGATTCTTCAAATGGGCATATTTTGGATCACCTGCTCATCATTAAGGAATTCATAAAAACATAACTTCTATCACCAGTTTTCTAATATACCTAACATGTATACAAACATCCCAAATCTCAATTTTTTTAAAAAAAAGTGATTGTGCATGACATGATTAATTAGAAATTTAAAGAAAAACACTTGGGAAAACATGTTAGCACAACACCTAAATACAGCAGTCAAGAGCTGTCTATTCCACTTCCCCAAAAGAGAACATCTGCAGATCAATATATAATCACAATCTCCTTCACTTTTTGCTACCTTCACCATTTGGTTCACAGAATATATGTCGTGTCATTCAGAAAAATACGTGCTATAAGTTTTATCAATACACAGCCTCGGCATCATTAACACAATATAAGGTTTAAAGAATTTAAGCAAAGTCAGAGCCAAGGAACAATTTTAACAGTACAGAAACTGCAATTTATCAGACAACCTAAATTAATTGGGAAGCAGATTAAAAAGGGCGGATTGCACTAGCAAGAACAGTGAACAAAAGCACGCGAACATAAAATTGCAAGACAAGCGCACTGCAGCTTCAAATCGAAAGTATTACTAAGAAAAGGTAAACAAAGAGTGAAAAGCGGGTTAGTATTATACCGGGTTCTCTAACAGTGCCATGGACGATGAAGTCGTTAGAGAGAAGAAGCTTAACGACCCAAGCGGCGAGGAAGCCACCAGCACCCGTCACGCAGATTCGCCCCTTCTCCATCATCGCCATTTCTTTTTTGTCTGAAATGTTTCTCTGAATATAACTTGAAAATGAAACAAAAAAATAGCGGTGTTATGCTATAAATTTCTCTGGTCATTATCTTCTTTTCCTTTTCTGTATAATTTCCATTAGGTTCGTGATTATCGTATGGTTGTCTGTTTGCCAATAAGTACCCGTGTGTGTGTGTGGGGGGGGTGTTTTGAGATTTTTCCAATTTGACACATTGAAGCCTGAGCATAGGTTCGGAATTGGGTCGGATGAGAACTAAAAATGAGAGGAATATAGATGGAAGACGAGACCATTTAACTTCTAGTTTGGTCCGGTTTGAACCAAAATTGAGTAATTTTTAAATAAAATTTAATTAAAAATTAATAAATGGAAAGAAAACTAATCTATCTTCTCTTCAAACTCCCTCCTTCCACAATATCCACCAAGACAAAACAAAATATATATATATATATATATTTGTGCTAACAAATAAAAGACAAAAAGTGGATCTCAATTAGAATGCAATATTTGGCCATTACTTTTTGAGTATTTTCTTCTACAGGCTCATACTAGTTAAACTTTTTTACAACTTCTTTTACGTTTAAATCCTTTAAATATTTCACCTTTAGCAATGGGGGAGTAGAGGAGTTGAGGATGAGCAAATGAGGGACTAGTAAATGAATGAACAAGAGAGTAACGAAGCTTTGGCCTTTGGGTTTGATCTTTTATGTGGAGGACAAGGAAACTTTTTAGTGTTGAGCATGGGGAAGCTGCAACAGTCAGTGCGGAGCATGAAGGAAAAAGGTTTTAACATTAACATAGTTGATACACAGGGAGGTAGATAGAGAAAGAGTGACTTGTTTTTTTTTTTTTTTTTATTGATTTTAAGTTTCTTTTTTATTTATTTATTTATTTTAGATATGTGTGTTTATGAATGTATTTATAAATATTTTTTTTTTATATTAATTGATTCAGATTGACCAAATTGGTTTTTCTAATTTACATTCTACTAAATTAATGACCTAATGGATTTTTTTAATTACTTGGTTGAATGTTTTTAAGTTTTAAAATATCTTAATGCTCAATTTTGATGATAAAAACTTTTGTAAAAATGGCTCTTCATAATTCTATAACGTGTAGGACTCTTAGTTACTGAAATTTTTTGTAACGGCCCCGGAAATAAAAATGAAATGTATGTGTTAAAAAGTTTTAAGTGCGGAAGCGAAATGAAAATTTTGATTAACATCCCTTACACAATAACCAAAAACGTATTCAACGTATAAAAGAATAAACTAACTAAGGTAAATACTAATGATGAATGCTATAAGTAAAACTATGAAATGATTAAATAAACCAAATCCTCCTTATCTGAAATGGTTAAATAAGGAATGAGCTACACTAGCCCAATAAAGACATCACACTATCTCACTGTCACATAAGTAAAGGTTAGTAAAAAATAAAAACGACCAATGGAGCATAATTCATGATAAATTCATTTATCAATAAAAACCCTTTACTGTCCACTTACCTCAGTGAGATTCATGAAAACAACTTATAAGAAATAATAACATCATAAATATCATGAATTCATACATAATCTGTATCATAATACATATCATACTTTTGTATTTCAATAATCAGACAATAAATTTTCTCTTTTATCAGCCTACTAGTATCCATAGGGGGTCTCTGCTACACGTGAACCATTCACATTAATAACTTAATTTTAGGGCCGTCCCCATACTCTGTGCGCCAAAACCATAAACTTCAATACCTCGTCCGGTATGAAGGTGAAACGGGCCGTCCCCATACCCCGTCCAGTATGGGAGTCAAAACACATAAAGTCTCCATACCCCGTCCGATATGAGAGACCACGTTCCCGGTAGGGTTCCCTATGGACCTGGTCCGTCCACCATCTCCTAGGATATCTAGTTAGGCTGTCGATATTATCCATTTATCAATTCACATACCATTTTCTATTTTTCTTAGTCTCAACTATCCAATCAAACATAAACACGTAAACCAATAATTGATACCAAATAAGGCAACACAATATCGGGTTCACAATAATTCAAACCATAATAAATGAAACCGTGATTCATGCATACGAAACCATATAATAAACACATCAGGTACCATACTGCATTCAAAACTGTAAAATAAATCAAACAACACCTGATCAAAAAATACATCAGATTCGGGCTCCATTAGCAGTCTTAATTAATTATACATATCTATTAACTCATAAAATACTGTTTTAACATTTATTAAGCTTTAATGCCGTGATAGGAAATAAGGTAAGAGATCATTACTTGTTTCGAAGTATGAAATCGGTTTTACACTGCACCTACAGACAGTCCCTAGATTCACTAAATTTTTCTTCGGGAACTGAAACACACTTCCGGTACCTACACGTGTCCCGAAAAAATTCAAAATCAGACCCAGGCCCTACTCGGCCAATTTCAGAATTCCAACACGGTGGCTCTGCCGTGCTTCAACGACGGCACCGCCGCCTGCGGTGGCAATTCGCCCTGGGTCGGCCGTTTTCGGCCGAATTCAGCCAAACTTGCATTGGTTCCTGTGATAAAACAACCCTAGGGCCCTCGATGTGCCAAAAAATACGAAAAACTGAGACTTACCGGCAGTGGAGCTCTCGGGTGCGGCGGCTTCTCCGGCACGAGTCGCAATTTGATGTTTTGCTCCGGTTAACCTGTAGAGAAAATGACGGTGATCACAGTGGTGTAAAAATTACATTGAATGGGAACCGGGAAGGGCCTCATCGGAGGTAAAAATTGAGGGAAGCCGCAGCGGCGCCGCTAGACTTCAGCGGTATTTTTCGGTCGATTGGCCGGTGATTTTGCTCCGATTTGGTCATAGGCGGATTCAGCATCGAAAAACGAGCCAATGAGAGAAAATTTACCTCGTTTGGCGGTCAAAAAATTCCTCAGTGCAGCGGCGGGCGGCGGCGGCTGGTTCCTCCGGTGACTGGGTCTTCTTCTCTGGCGAGGGTATTGGCGGCTAGGGTTTGGGGTTGGGTGTGGGTGAAGTTATTTATAACATTCCCCTTTTAATCTCAGTCATCCATCACGATTTAATCTGAGTCATCTGATTGCGATTAAAATAGGAATAAATCTGGACCGTCCATCGCGATGCGATCTGGGTCGTCCGTGTGCGTGAGATCTGGGCCGTCCGCACGCGTGAGATCTATACCATTTGATCGCGTGCACGCGGATCGCCCACGTGGCTCCGTCCCGCGTGGCCTCCCTCGTAGCGTCCTTGCCACGCGGTGTGTCCTGATTGGCCAGGTCTGCTGACATTTTGACCCCCGATTTTCGATTGCCTTTTCAAAAATACCTCTAGAATCCAAATTTTCATCAATTTTTCTCAAAATTATTTTCAATTAAATCTAAAAAATAATTTTAACTATTTTTGTCATTATTATTATTTTTATTTCAATTAAATTAAATTAAATAAAATTACACCCTTATGAATAAATTATAAAATTTCAATAAAAATAATAAATAAGGGTTTGGGTGTTACATTTTTTGGATTTTTGGACACTTTAGAAACTGATTCCTTCATTGACTTAGTTAGCTTAGTTTTCCCTCTTAAAATCTTCAAAGTTTGTCGCAAGACTCTCATTTTCATATATTGATATGTTTACATAAACTTGGAAGTCCCTCTTAAATTTATTAGTCCATGCTCCATCCATAAAGCTTAAATGCTTGTTGAAGTTGGTTCATCGTAGGCTTATCTTCATATGGACTTTGTTTAATTTAAATTGGATTCTTTCTTCAACTTAAATAGACAAAGCTTCCCTCTTAAATTTATTAGTCCATGCTCCATCCATAAAGCTTAAATGCTTGTTGAAGTTGGTTCATCATAGGCTTATCTTCATATGGACTTTGTTTAATTTAAATTGGATTCTTTCTTCAACTTAAATAGACAAAGCTTCCCTCTTAAATTTATTAGTCCATGCTCCATCCATAAAGCTTAAATGCTTGTTGAAGTTGGTTCATCTTAGGCTTATCTTCATATGGACTTTGTTTAATTTAAATTGGATTCTTTCTTCAACTTAAATAAACAAAGCCATGAGTTTCATGCTTTATGGGGCATAAATTATGGCTTTTTGAGCTTATGGAGCCATGAGCTTCCATTTGCTCGAGGTTGTGAACTTCCATATAAGCTCCCATATCGCCATGAGCTCCCATGTGATCTTCTATGTGAGCTTGAGTTTCATCTTGATCATAGAATTTTATATAACTTAGTGTGTTTTGCCCCCTCAGCTCCTTTGCTTGCATCACATATGATAACACATCATATTCGAATAGTTTCTAAATCCTGAGTCTATATAACAATTCATCTTATTCATTTGATATCTAAACCAAAAGCCTAACTTTTTTCATCAATCTCATTTCTCTTTGTTCTAATTTAATCAAATCAACTCTTAGTTTGAATAGAAAACTAAATTGAAAACTTTTACCTTCATCATTTTTTTTTAAGGACAAGTGAATATAAAACTCTTTTTTTATAAACAACATTTACTTTTTTTTTATTTTTAAAATTTTTTAAATTCAACCGTCGTTAGAAACTGTAAAAACGAGTTGAAATTCATTTTACATGCTCTCAAGTTTTTGAGCTTCCATATATAAGTTAAATTTTTTAAAAGTGGTATACCTTTAATCTTTAACGGAACCATGTTTTTAAAAATATTTTATTTTATTTTTAAAAATATTTTAAAATATATATAAATAAAATATTGATTGATATAAAATATTAACGTGTAATATTTATAATGTTATAAAGATTTGAGATTTTATCATTAATACAAGTTTAGGGTCTCACAAAAATTAGAGTATTTAAGAAAAAAGTTGAGGTGTATAAAATTTTTTTTATCGATATATTAGTTGGTACAATCTTAAGAATCCACCAAAAAATACAAAATTTATTTGAGAAGAAATCATTGAACTTGTTCAATTTCTATTTACGTTTTAAATTCATTCTTCTCACTCATTAGTATCAAATATATATATATATATATATATATATTTATATACACATACGAAATTTTATATTAAACTATTAAAAAAATTAATTATGAATTTGAGTGAGATGATTTGTTATTTATTTAATAAAATTTATTAGGTATAGTTTTGATGAATGATTATAATTTACGAATCCTATAGCTTCAATCTCAAAAAAAAAAAAAAAAAAAAAAAAAGAAAAAAACTATACTTAAAAAAATTCTGTACACAATTTACACGTTTTATATTTTGATTTTCCGTAATTTGAGGGTGTATTTGGATTGTCCATAACAGGAAGAATTGAGCCAATAATCAGAATTGAGGGTCAGTAACGGCAACAACTCCGTGAAAAATAACGGAATACCCAGCCTCATAACACAGCAATTGGCACGTGCACTGACAGTCGCCAGAGATGGATCTGAGACCTGAGCAGTCACGCTACACGTGTGTGATCTCTCTTCCTTCTTTCTCTCCTATAAAACCAACCCACATTTCTCCAATTTTCTCTCATCCCAAACCCCCTCTGTCTTTTTCTCTCTCCTTTCCAACCCGTCAATTTCTCCTCCCGCCGCCGGAATATTCCACCATGGACATCCGCCGCCGGCCACCTAAACCGTCTACTGCCACCACAACCGGCGGCGGGACCCTTCATCACCACAACCCTCCATCGCCAACCCCTAAGGCATCTGACGCGCTACCCCTCCCCCTCTACCTCACCAACGCCATTTTCTTCACTTTATTTTTCTCCGTTGCCTACTACCTCCTGCACAGGTGGCGCGACAAGATCCGGAACTCCACGCCCCTCCACGTCGTCACTCTCCCCGAAATCGCTGCCATTGTCTCCCTCATCGCTTCCTTCATCTACCTCCTCGGTTTCTTCGGCATCGACTTCGTCCAGTCTTTCATTACACGCGCCTCTCATGATGCTTGGGATCTTGACGAAGACGAACCCAAACGGAGCTTTCTCATCAATGACGATCATCGCCTCGTAGCCTGCCCTCCGCCTCCGACGTATTCCACCTCCGAACCCATTATCAACACATTTTCCTCCGTCGAAGACGAGGAAATCGTCAAATCCGTCCTACAAGGTACGATACCGTCTTACTCCCTTGAATCCAAGCTCGGGGACTGCAAGAGAGCGGCGGCGATCCGGCGGGAAGCCCTGCAGAGGATGACCGGCAGGTCGCTCAAGGGCTTACCGTTTGATGGTTTCGACTACGACTCTATATTGGGACAGTGCTGCGAAATGCCTGTTGGGTACGTCCAGATTCCTGTGGGGATCGTCGGGCCGTTGCTGCTGGATGGGTTCGAGTACACGGTTCCGATGGCGACCACTGAGGGTTGCTTGGTGGCCAGCACAAACAGAGGTTGCAAAGCCATCCATACTTCCGGTGGCGCTACCAGTATGGTGTTGAGAGACGGGATGACCAGAGCGCCGGTCGTGAGGTTCTCGTCCGCCAAAAGGGCTTCTGAATTGAAGTTCTTCTTAGAAAATCCTGACAATTTGGATACGCTGTCTGTCGTTTTTAACAGGTAAGGTTAGCTTCACTTTATTTATTTTTATTTTTATTTTTGTGTATTGCCTTACTTTTCTTATTTGATCTGGAAAAGAATTTTCGATTTCTTTTGATTTGTTTGTTATCTGTTTTTCTTTGTATGAGTTGGACGTTTATCTTATTTGATTTTGAAATTTGGATGACGTTGATGTAAACTTACTCTCTGAAAACACCTGTTATGGCGGTTGGTGACGGGGAATTTTCCAATGTGGGTGGGCGGAGGACCGGAACCAGAGTGATGACACGAAAAATATTAGCACAAAATCAAAATTTTGATTTGAAAGAAAGGGAAAGAGGTTCAGAATAATTAATAGGAGTCAGAATTTCTGGTGTTTTGACTGCGTATGTTGTGTTGCAGGTCGAGCAGATTTGCGAGGCTGCAAGGTATTCAATGCTCCATTGCGGGGAAGAATCTGTACATTCGATTCAGCTGTAGCACAGGTGACGCAATGGGGATGAACATGGCGTCGAAAGGGGTTCAGAATGTTCTCGAATACCTTCAAACTGACTTCCCTGACATGGATGTTATTGGCATCTCTGGTAAAACTTTTTATTAAACCTTTTTATACTTGTAGTTTTACTGTTGGCTTTTCCATGGAGTCATGTTTGTGAATGCTGCAACTTATTTTCACAATTTAAATCACATCATTTATTTCCTTGCCTTATTTAAATCATCCACCCTTCATCTCATGAATCTATTACTATTTACAAATAAATTATTGGTTTCTACTCAATCCTGTAACACTTCCCTAGTTCCAACTAAACTGTCTCAGAAATCTCTCTCTGTTGTCCTCTTTACAATTAAATTAAGGCCAATTGTTTCCTCCAGTACTCTTCTGTTATTAATGGTGTTCTCTCTCTCTTGTCATTATCTTCATCCAAATATGATGAATCAATCTTCCAATGGTAGTTCAAACTTCATTTTCTTGGTCTTTTTTATTGGAATTCTGAAAAGAATGTTACATATAATTTATGCATCGTGGTCCAGGATAGTTTACATCCTCAGCCATCATCATCGACCCTTGAGTATTTTGATACGGAATTTTCACTGCTTGGTAAATCCTTGTTCACACCTTATATAAGAAAAGTGGAAGCATTTTGTATTTGCCAATTACTCTTAAGATTGTACCTGTGTGGTCATTTAATAAAAAATGCTCACAAACAGCCGTTTAGTCGATACTTATACACACATTTTAAGCTGAAAAATTAAGTACCTCCACCTTGTTTTTTTTTTTTTTCTTTTATTTAAGTGGTTATTTTTCAAATCACAATCCAGATCTTAAGTTGCTTATAGACATGTTGTATTTTAAAGCAAATCTCGTTTCAGTAACCGCTCTCTTTCACATAATGTGCAATTTTGTTGGTTTTCACATGTTATGGCAGGAAACTTTTGTTCGGACAAGAAACCTGCCGCTGTAAACTGGATTGAGGGGCGTGGCAAATCAGTTGTTTGCGAGGCAACAATCAAGGAAGAAGTGGTAAAGAAGGTACTGAAAACAAATGTAGCTGCACTTGTAGAGCTCAACATGCTCAAGAACCTTGCTGGCTCTGCTGTTGCTGGTGCACTCGGTGGATTCAATGCTCATGCTAGCAACATTGTGTCTGCCATCTTCATAGCCACCGGCCAGGATCCAGCCCAAAATATTGAGAGTTCTCACTGTATTACAATGATGGAGGCTGTAAATGATGGCAAGGATCTCCATGTTTCTGTTACCATGCCATCCATTGAGGTATAAAGATTGAACTTTTGGGATGGTCATAGTTCTTGTTTACTTGCTGGGTCCCAAAGTGTGGAATAAGGAATGTTTCTTTTTTGGATCAGGTGGGTACGGTTGGAGGTGGAACTCAACTTGCATCTCAGTCAGCTTGCCTGAATTTGCTTGGAGTGAAAGGGGCAAGCAAAGAGTCACCAGGATCGAACGCGAGGGTATTGGCGAGTGTAGTGGCGGGTGCAGTTCTGGCAGGAGAGCTGTCTCTGATGTCTGCAATTGCAGCTGGTCAGCTAGTGAGGAGCCACATGAAATACAATAGATCCAGCAGAGATGTGTCCAAGGCTGCATCATGATGAGATGGAAAATGGTCCCTAGCATGTGACATTAAAAAAAGAAACTGGAAGAGAGAGGCCAAGAGAGAAAGACAGAGAGAAAGTTGGGAGAGTGGGTATGTAGCTGTATAAAGTTTGATATTGTTTGTAAAGTAAAGGGGTAGGGCTGGGTGTGGGTGTGTGTGTGTGTGTGTGTTGAGAGATGAGATGGAAGGAGCAGTGAGAAAGGCAGGTGTCCCAGCCGAGGCCAGCTCAGTAATTTGCTATCTGTCTTGGCTTGTTGGGTTATTTTAGCTGGGGACCAAAGCGTCTCTCGTGGTCGGCCCTAAAGTAAATTGTTCATGACTTTTCCTCTTGGATTCATTTAATATGTTTCTTCTCAATTAATAACTTTGCTCCATCTCCGTGCTTGTTCCATGTCAGTTCATTGCCGATTTCCTGAACCTATGGCCAAATGGCGCGTGGAGGGTTAATTAATATATATTATATATTAGAGGATTAATAGTTTAAAATGATACTAAAAATATTAAATTTATTTTAAAATACATTACTGTGACTGAGATATTTCTAACTTTGTACGACACAGTTAGTCTTCGGTGATCATAATAAAACATTTTCTTTTTCCTTGTAAGCTGAGTGCGTACTACTTGATTAATATACTTTTAAAATTATTATATCAAGTATTTTTATTACATGGACTTATTATTATCTTTGGTACTTCCAAGTACGTAGCATCTTTTAACTCTTTTTAAGCAAGAAAATCATTTTGAATTTTTAATTAGTGACTCTATTAAGTAAAAATTATTTTATTTTGATAAAAAGAAATTGGGACATTTTAATAGTTTGGGCTATGATCATCCAAATAAAATTTAATTTATTATTGTAGATAGTTGACAAGTCACCTTCAACAACTCTTAATTCTGAAGTTTCTTATTATTATTGTACCTCAAATTAATTCTTAAATTATGATCAATGGTATTAAATTTTAATTGACATCCGGAGGAGGTTTAAATTTTGGGCCTTCCACACAGCACACACACATGGGCCTCCTCTCGACTCAGCTTTCCTTCTCTGATACCCACTCCTGTGTCTTGCCCCGTCCTGCACAGTTTAGTCGTCTGCCACGTGTCACCAGATTCCTCTTTCACCCGCCTCTTCCGTCTTACGCTTGGAGCCGAATTGACATTGACAATCAGAGCCAGGACAACCCTAATTTACCAAATAATTAATGAACTGGGCGAGGGACTCTTAAAACAAACCTCATCCATAGCGAACGCCGACCTCCCACTCATCCACCTCGAACCATCTGGCCAAATGGCGAGAAGTTGGGGAAGAACCCTGGGGAATGTGAGGTCATTTATTGGGAATTCTATGGGAGGCCTTCGAGGTGGAAGCAACCTCGCGTCTTGGGTCGTTGCCGGAACTCTAGCTTATTTTCTCTGGGTCAAGCCCTCTCAAGATCTCAAAAAGGAGCAAGAGGTTTGCTTCTCATCTCAATTTTATATATAATTTGTTTCCTGCACTAATTGCTGACTCAATTGAATGGGTTTTTCACTTATCCTGCCAGGCAAGGGCGGCTCTTGCAGCTTCTGATCCTCATCGATATGTAGAGAAGCGGAAGCCCATTCCTGATCCTCAGGTAATTTTGTGGTGATTGTATCTGTAAATTATTCTGCTCATGTTAATATTGGTTTCGTGTTGAATTGCCCGCCTTCGATTTATGGTTTTCAGGAAACTGGATTGATATACGGCAACAAGAATAGAACAAATAAACCTTCTGAATGATTTTGCTTGTAATTTAGTCTTTTTTTTTTTTTTTTTGTTTATTATAATATAATTGAATATTAACACATATGTACTCTTGTAAGTGAGAATAAAAAATAGAAGATCCGACTTAGAAATTCCCATTTTAGGGCATACCTTAGATGATCTACCATCAAGTTCCGGAGCTTTTGAGTGCATTATTGAGATAATTACTTAATATTATAGTGTTTATCTGCTGTTCTGTAGAACTTGATGTACATAGGGACGCTGTTTATTGTTTCTTAGCCAGTGTTCTTACTCTTCCTCTGTGCTTTGTAACTGGAAAACTATATGAATGATTAAGATTTATAATTGAAATCTACAATAGTTTTACGTAAATGTCACATTTATGACCTTACATTGTGATGTTCTAATTTGATGTGTACATGACTCCAGCATTTATTTTTTGTTGCTTTTGAAGGAAAACTTCCACACATGATTGTATTGTACCAAAATTTGTCATTCTGTCGGTCTCTATACTTGATTAGGGTAATTACTCAATGAATTTCGATTTGCTGGATTACTTCATATATTATGTAGTTAACATCGGTGAACAGTTTTGGACTAAGAAAAACCAGTTTTATGGGTACGCATCATGGATTTTCTTCCTTTTTTTTTGTTTTTGTTTTTGAAATAAAAATGTGAAGTTGTATTGATGTTAGAGTGCCAAGGAGACACAACCCATTTACAATGTATTTACAAGTCGATTAAACTATAGACAACAAAACCAAGATCATCAAGACATCGATGTTATGACCCAAAATAATGGAATCAAAATAGTAAAACCAACAATAAATGAGTTTACTAAAATCAAGTTCTATTCCTTTGAAAGTACGATTGTTTCTCTCTTTCCAAAGGACCCATATTATGGTGACTGGAATTAATTTTAACATTTTTCTCTTGCTGCTGAAGCCTTCCTATGCTAGGAGTTCAGCATGAATGTTGTTGTTCATGACCCAAGACAGCCCTTTCTTCCTGTTTTATATAAGGTGAATTTCTGGCAAGGATAGTTTTATCTCTGTAGTCATTAATCATAGTGCCGAATGATTTTATTGGCATTGTTATGGTTGTTGTTTATTTTACGAAATTATCAGATGCTTATTAAGGAAGGTGGGGATTGAGGGAAGTTTAGATGTTTTTATGCGTTTACATATTGGTTCTGTAGATATGCATTGTGTCTATGTGGCGGTTTGTGGCCTGGCCTTGGGTGTTGTCCAGTTAACACTATTTCCCTGATAGATAAACCCGAGTAAGAGTTAGTCTCCGGTATTTACTTGCAAAGCACTTCAAAATTACATTACAAATGATAGGTCTCTAAATATTCTTACTTGAAGGTTTCCATTAGGCTATATTTGGATTAAATAAACAATTCTGTTGGAATTTATTTGAAAATCAATCATAGTTTATTCAGAAGGGAGTGAAAATTTCACCTAAAAGGGAAAAATTAATAGAATTTGAAATGCAGTTCTCGTTCCACCTGAAAATGTTTATGAACTCCATTTTTATCCATCATAATTAAATTTCACAAAAATTTATTAATCTGTTCCGAACACATACTTAGTTGACTGGGAAATCCAGGTGAATAAAGGTATGTTCTGTTTGAGGTAGTCTGATGGTAAAAAGCTTTATGTCTAGTAGTTTCGTTTTCTGTTGTTATGAATAAATTGGGTTCCAAATTCCCAGGTGCATTTTTAGATTGAGAGTCAGTTTCCCACGTAATCGATGCTTGCCCACCATCTTTATGTTTAGTCTAATGTTCATTTGGGTGGACGTTGCCTCCGGTCATGCCGGGTTAGCTTTTTAAAGCGACTTATCGATTGAAATTGAAAACTTGGTATCCATAGTTGAGAGTTCTCCAAATACAAATAGAATGAAACTCAAAACGTAGGAAATTCTTAATCTATGTCATTGGACGTCTATCTGTTTTGGAGGAGATAGAAAGGAAACCAAAACGCTAGAGGCGATGGGGATAATTGGGAGACATGTTCACGTGTAAATGCAAATAGATCGGCAGGGACAAAAATTGTTAAAAAGAGGAGCAAGTACACGTCGCCATGTGCCTGAGTTGGTGAAATTTGGGTGACAAGATAATTACGTTTTACCAATAAGCAAATAAATAATAATGTATTTGAAATGAAATTAATGATTTATATATCCTTTTAATCATAGTTATTGAACGAAATAGCCATTAAGTTAAAGCAAGAGACTGATTCCAATAATGTATTTACATACATACTCAGATGGGTCCCCTCCCCCTGCATCATTACGAAAACAATTTGCAACATTTGTTTAATAAATTATTATATCACCTGTGTAATCATGGATACATTTCTTCATTCATACACGTAAATATATTTCTTAGTCATTTCTAATTCCTATTTAATTTCTATTCTTACTATTATAAATATCATTAATACGCTTAAACAAACAAATATATATATATATTTACACTTTTTTTTTTTTTTTTTTTTTTTTTGCATTTTCGGAGCAGTTAATACTTACCCTTTTTGTGATGGGACTAGTTAGTTCTAATTAATTCTTTTTTATTAACCGTTCTCTGTTGCATTTCCATGATCATTACTTTTTGACTAAAACCATGTGGGGAGGTGAGTCTTTTCAAGTTAAATCACACCCTCTAATTTCTGGTTTTTATCATGAAATTAATTATAATTACAATCTCAATTATACTGGGCCCAACCCCCCCCTCCCCCCTCCATGATTATTTCTTTATGCTTTTATTATATAAGTATTAATCCCTTCTCCACTATTTACATGCATGTACATATATCTAATTTTAAGGTTAACTACTGTTGGTACCCAAAAGTTGTACAATTAAAATTCGTGATACCACTAAAATTAGAAAAGAAAAATGCCAAACTTTGGAAACATGTGACGTCAAAATTGGCCCTCGCCGGAATCAATCAAAAGAGAGGTCGTCGCGTCTGCGACTCTCTAAATTAAGAACTTATTTATGCCAAAATTAGGTTGCATTTGGTGTTTGATTCACTATTCTATTTTATTTTTATCATTATTACGATTTAATTTTCATGTGTCATGTTATGACTATTACTATTACGATTAATATTATTCGATTTATTATATTATATTATTGTTGTCGTTATCATAATTTCTATTATGTTTAATATCATCTTTAATATTACTATACAATTATTATTATTTTTATTAACTCATTATTATTATTATCATCGTTGCTATGATACTGAAAACATTTTTATTTGTCTAGCGCTTCTTCTATTAAATACACTGTTGGCACAATTCCTAACTAATTGCTGTAGTAATTATTTTTGTTCATCTTTCATTTTCATCATAATGGAAAATTAAATTAACGTAATACATTGTGCCATCTTAACGAGTATATTATATAGACTTTATTTAACTATATTATTCAATGGAAAAAAAAAAAAAAAAAAAAATCTTAATTTGATTCCACTTTCCTACATACTTTTTTAGTGGTCGCTCTAATTTGATTCTTTAGATAGCATTACTTATGCATAATTAACCACTACACTGCTCGGGTACTCTTTAAGTCTTCAAAACTTGGTCTTATAAGTCATTTATCGAAAATGATTTTTTTTAAGATTTTATAATATATATATATATATATAGATGTCGAGGCGTGGAAATTGATTTGTAATAGCATGGGGTCAGAGAGAGTAGAGTAGGTAGGCAATCCTCATTTTTTACACGGAATTATCGACCCACTCTTGCGGCGGCGGCGGCCATACACAATCAACTATCTTCAATCCAAGTCCAAGCATCCTTCTTCACTAATTAATTTATCTTTTTATACTAATCAAACCTACTCGTACCTTTCAGTAGTCTTAAATTTAAAAGAAAGACACGCACACTCTCTCTCACATATATAGTAACTAAAAATGCTTAATTTTATTTAATCCCCACTGACCATTTGAATATCTAAATATATTAATTTTATATGGTTCCTAACTCAATTAAATAAGTTATGAATCACTGTTTAAGTGATTAATTGGTGTATTTCATTGTCAATCTCATCTCGAGTACTAATCCTTGAAATGGAATTCAAGTCATGTACACGTACGTTAATTATTGAGGAGAAATTTTTGTGCTGGATTGAGGCAAGTGGGATGCGATGCGATGCGATGGCGCCCTCAAGTTTTCAACACATGTCCCAGTTCTTTCCTTCACCCACTTGTGCATTGGATGCTGACACCCAAATACACATATTATAATTTATTTACTTATTTTCCCCTCAACACCAAATTTACACGGTTCCCTTTGGCCAAACACTATATTTTCTTACATCTTTCGAACAGATGGAGAGTTAAAAGGGACAAAAACTATATTCATCTATTGGTACGTTCTACATTCCATCCTTATTTTTTGTTTTGTACAAGAAAAATAATAAATTTTATGTTTTCAATAATTAGTTTATAAACCTAAAATTACATTTCAATCTTTTCTATAATATTATTATTGGATACGTTTGCTTGTTAATTATTAAGATATTAGAATGATATGAGCATGACCACTGTGTGTATGCATAAATGGCTGTTGGGTTAATTGCCTCCCATCTGCTAAAATCCTTGAATAAAACGATTGAAATAATTAAGCATGTGAAAAGGGCCATTTGGTCACACCACACAATTTGTGGTTGGGGGCTTCCAAATTTATCACTCACGCCCCATACATATATATATATATATACATGTGTGTGTCTGTGATTATTTATATGTATCGGGGAAAAGACACAGATATTATATTTATTTATCAAATTCATAAACAAGCATTTGAATTTTGTTTGTTTTTTCCAAAAAAAAAAAAAAAAGAAAAAAAACTTTATATTTTTTTCTTACTATATACAAATAATTTTTCTTACATTGGATAGATAAGGTTGACCAAGTACCGATGTGCCGACAGTTTACACGTGGTCTCACACCTCAACTTCTGCTCTGACCATTGACCGCACGTGTGTCCCTCTGATCATTCCTTCCCGACTCTTCCTCCACCACCTATTTTACTTCATATATGCATACGAACATACAAATATTTATTTTTATGAGAGAATTATATTTGTATCCCCTTGAAATTTTTATTGAAAACTTGTTAAAATATTTGAATTTTATCATTTATAATAATAATATGAACTTTGCATGTTGCAAGCTGAAAGCAATCAATTTTTTTTTTTAAAAAAATTATTTTGAAGATCAACAACTACCCAACTGTTGTTGCTAAACTTGATGTCAACAATTGGCTGCATCCAACGTTATTATTAATTTTTCTTTTGGTCTATACTTTCTCAAGAGGAAGCACAACGAATATATATATATATATATATACATAATCTGTACAAAGAACACTAATGTGTGCATATAATATTACATTTCTACATTTATATGGATTACAAAAATACAGTCCCAGTCATTAAGGAGATTTTTTACTAAAAAAATATTATATATATATATATATATATTAGAGCACCCTAATTACGCAAGTCAAAAGACAGGACAAAATATATATGATCACTTAAAGGATCCAAGCGAATGTTTTTATATTTTAAGTCTTTCCAAAAAAAGAATGTTTTATATTTTATGTTGTTGAAATATATATATATATATATATATTGGTACCAAATGGATAATCTGATTTGTCCTTTTTAAATGAATCATGTAAAGTGAAGTCAATTTGGATTGCAATATTTAAAATATGTTGTTTTTAGGGTCGATTTAAAATTTAATTTTTTTAAAAAAATAAAGAGTAAAAAAAAATTGTTCCAATATCAAATGGGCTATGTGAAATTTAAATTAATTGAGTTGAGTGTATGTATATGTGTGGGTTTGAATTTTTCAGATTCCATGGTCGATGCTTAAACCATTTAGCCCAACCAGAGCTTGAAGAATAAGTGCTTATGGTGAAGCAGCCAATCCAATCACTCGTCCTACAACTTAATTGAACCAACGGCGGGGGGTGGGGTCCAAACACCCACCACCTCCGAACAATTACACTAAATAAATTTTATATTAATATATATTTTTTTTAAAAAAGCAAAGATTAGTGTGTAATTAACAAGGGAACATATGCCTTACCTTAAGGATTCTTTGCTAAAGCATTATTTAGCTTTTTCATTTTATATTATTCTCCTTTTAATATAATAATTAGAGCGTCTTTTCTACCACGCGCATAATAATACAAGAAATTCAGTATTTTATTATTATTATAATTAAATTTTAATTTGAACCATTTCTGGGTAAATAAGCAATCTTTATTAGTTCATGTCTCTGCACGCGCGGAGAGTGAGACTGGGATGACCCTAGCGGTGTTAACCAAGAGTATTTTCAAGACCTCTCCCTGTTCAAGTAACAACTTCAATTTGTCTTGGTAATTGCTTGGCTTCTCCTGCTTTTACCGCACGCTTTGCTTCCAACCCCATTTCCTTCCCTCTCCTCCTCTCCTCCCCTCCCCTCCCCCCAACACCCAAAGCGCGTGGATTTCTCTTCATATTCTTTTCTTTTCCTTTTCATTCTCTTCCCACAAGCTTAACAGTAGCTGCAGCTTGTTTATTTTCTTTGCCTCTTCTATGTGACTTGTTTGTTGTAATTTCTTGGTTTGTTTCTATATCTGATTCCTGCTGTCCTTTTCTCAAACAAACTGCTGTTCCAGCAGTACTTCAGTTGGATTTGGGAGGAACACGGCTTCTTTGTTTTTGTTTTAATAGAAAGAAAAGCAGTTGTGGGTGATGGATGATCGATATAGCTTCCTTTGAGCTCTTGATTTAGGGGGGCTTCTTCGAGTTTTTGTGCAACTGCAGTGTTAGCAGAGAAGGCCATGTGAAGAAGCATTCAAAACTAAGGTAGCGGATAATTTTTGTAACCGATCTCTTGGTATTGCCTCCTGAATTCCAGATTTTGACTTCGGATCTAAGTTGAAAAGGATTTTAGTTTCTTCTTAAGCTTCTCTATTAGCTATACATACACAAGTAAAAGGAGAAGAAGAAGAAGATGATGATGAGTTATATATAAACTAGCAGATTGCTGGTAAAAGTAATTTGAGAAAGAGACAAGGAGAGAGAAATAAGGATCAGATCGAAAATCGAAAGCTAAGCTGGCAAATAAGTGGTGGGAGAGAATAGATGTGGCGATGGCGGGTTTGGAGTCAGGCCCAGGTTCTCGCTACGTCCAAAATCTTTTCAGACCTGAACTGCACCACCTCCACAGACCATCCATTAACCCACCACCGCCTCAACCTCCCCTTTCCTCCGACTCAAAGGACTCTCATGAAAACACCTACCAAAAGCCTGATTCTGACGACCCCACCGCACCCTCAGCATCTGCCTCCAATCGCCGCCCGCGTGGCCGCCCACCCGGCTCCAAGAATAAACCAAAGCCTCCTATCATAGTCACGCGTGACACACCCAACGCTCTCAGATCACACGTTTTGGAGGTTACCACCGGCGCTGACATCGTCGACAGCGTCTCCAATTACGCCAGGCGTAGGGGCAGGGGCGTTTCAGTCCTAAGTGGCACCGGTACCGTCGCAAACGTCACCCTACGTCAACCGGCTGCTCCCGCTGGTAGCGTGGTTACCCTCCATGGCAGGTTCGACATACTTTCTCTCACTGGAACTGTGCTTCCCCCACCTGCGCCGCCTGGTGCTGGTGGGCTCTCCATCTTCTTGGCCGGTGGGCAGGGCCAGGTGGTTGGAGGAAGCGTGGTGGGTCCACTTCTGGCGTCGGGTCCGGTGGTTTTGATGGCTGCTTCGTTTTCAAATGCTGTGTTTGAGAGATTACCGCTGGATGAGGAAGAGGCACAGGCCCTGCAAGTGCAGCCCACTGCTTCTCAGTCTTCTGGAGTGACAGGTAGCGCACAGCAACTTGCCGAAGGTGGAGGAGGAAGTAGCAGCGCCGGAGCCGGAGGCGGCGGTGGAGGATCTTTCTTCACTATGGGCGGAGCCAATGTCGGGGGTTATCCATTTTCAGGTGATTTGTTTGGATGGGGTGGAAATGGTGTGAGGCCTCCGTTTTAGTTGGTCATTGTGTGTGGTTTTTTTTCATGTGTGGAGGATCCTGATGACATGATCCCTACGCAGGTAGTCTTTGAATGATTTGGTTTGAGGAGGAGGAGGAAGAAGAAGAAGGAGGAGGAGGTTGATGAGAGGATGAGATGTAAGGTTGCCTTTAATTAATTTGTATGATAAAATTAAAAAAAAAAAGAAAAAGAGAAAAAAGTTAGGCAATCAAAGCTCATCATCCTTCCTTCAGACAACAAATGGTTTGGTGAAGCTGATCGAGTTACTGATTCCCAGTGGAGGAATGAGGTTGCAGCCAATGATTGCACATTATACAGATCTCAAATTAAGGTCAGTAACTTAAGGGTTAATATTGTATATGAGCTTTCCCTTTCTTTTCGTTTCTCTTTCTTAATGTTATCAAATTCCTTCTTCAATCTTCTTATTATTATTATTATTATTAAAAAAAAAGAAAAAAAAAAGAAACAAACTTAATTTAATATATATATATATATATGTAGCTGTAATGTGTTATGGGGCACAATTTTAGGGTTTATTTTATTAATGTAGTCTGTTATCAGTTTCTCCCAGTAATACGTCATTTAGATTCAATAAAAAATTAATGTGTTTTCAAACTTAAACGTATATTTGTATTTGTGAATACGTATCTGGCAAATTTATTCCCTTAATTTATTAGCACTGAATAATGAGAATTCTTCATGTTTTTTTTTTATATACTCACACAAACATATAAACCTAGGACTGATCCGTTCCATGTTTACTAAATATTTTGTTTATGTAATCAAAATGGTCCTTTTTTTGTTGTTAGCTAGGTTGCCCCATAACCCAAACTCTCTCCCACTATCCAGTCTGATAAATTTTTACGGTATTATATAATTTTTAATATATAAAATGTATATTTCTGCATGTGGGTATGTCTTTTTATATATTCTCTTACTACCCATGAGAGGAAAAGTGTAGTCAAGATCCTTAAAAGCCTGTTGCTTCACTTACTACAAAAACCCTAATTCTGAAACTTGTTGGAGAAGAAGAACAAGGCCGGGGTGCGCCCCAAGAACACCAAATTGTTTACTCCCTGTCCCCTCTCTCTCTCTCTCTCTCTCTACTAATTTTGAATGTTGTCTTGTGTTGGCATGAGCGTTACACTTGTATAGAAAACTTCCCCTACAAACCTTTGTTGTCATTGGTTACAATATTAACCTGGAAAATAACAGTGTTGCACGTTACTCTACTCTGCAACACCAATATACGTGAAACAAAAAGTTTTCTCAATTACTTTGAAACAAATGGGAATCAATGAATTTAGAGATCATTTTAATGTCACTTTTACCGAGATTGTAAAAAGAACAGAAACAAGCTACCAAAGAAAAAATATTTAACAAATTTTTTGTAGTGGTCGAAAGGAAACATTTATCAAACTTTGGAATTGGTTCTTAATTATACATACATACATACATACATATATATATATATATATGCACACTTTAAGGAATTGCATTTTTAAACTTAGGGGCGTGATTTCGTGATGTTTACTTATTTGAACAACAAAAACTAACATGTATGTGTAATAGATCCATATGAGATATCTTCGTCCCTCTTTTCCTATAATATTGTATTACAACTTCCTTAGCTTCTGTTTCTGTAACATAGTAAACATTATATGTATATGTTTGGGAAAAAGAATGTGCATATGTGAAGTGGGATAGGATTGGCTTAATGATTCTCTTCCAATTATGTATAATATATATTGGGTGCCTATGCTTTGTGCAAAAGGGTAAAGACAAATGGACAGATGCATGCTTGGCTATTAATGGTTACTAATTTATTTATTTGGAAGAGACTTTTTATCATTCTTTTTTAGAGAAAACAGGCAGGCAAACATATACGTTCAGGAAAAAGTTCATTCAAAAATACTAAATTTACTAATTCTGCAAATTATTATCTTATTATTTCATGAAGAAATTATGGATATTGACAGTGTTTAATTTTGACTTCACTCTATTATTATATATATATATATATATATTTAGACAGATATATGTTCGGATCATAGAACAAATCTATTTGTGTAGAATTTGTGGAAACTGATAATTAATGTCAATTACTCATATGATCATCTTTATGTACTACTTTCAAGAATGGGCTAGAAATATACGCACATGCATGCATTACATACATACATATATATATATATATAGTTGTAGATAACAATAGTTGGGGGAATAAATTCAGGGACCATGTATCAATATGGGTCGACATGGAAATAATAATGAGAAGTTATATTCTCATTTAATTTGAACCGACATGAATAGATGTTATAGATGTACGACTGATCTCTTCAATAGTTATTTGTGTCATATGATCGATAAGTTTTAGATCCTTTTAACTTCGTCTATGTGATATATATTATTGTTTTACTGAGTGTATATGCAAATGATGAATCAAATAACTAATGTTATATATATAGGATGTAAAAACAAACGGATTTGAATTTGTACAGAAAACAAACATTGAATGACTGTTGGAGTGGAGTTTATGCTAAATTCATTAAATATTAATATAACGATCAATCATATATAGATGTTATCTTGCTTAGTAATTAATTCATAAGTCTGCTGATTACATTGATCAGAAATGGCAACAGAAGTCATTTATATTATTTTTTAAGATACACAATGATTTTAATAAATAAAATAGCGGTAATTAAGATGCATGATGGAGTTTGAAGGTACTTGAGGCCTTGTTTTCAGTGAGACGGGATGCTAAAGAAAATGAGTAGCGAGTGCAGCATGCTTAATAAATCCTTGTGCAGATCAGAATGATGACATTATATGTGTGTGTGTGTGTGTATATATATATATAGAGTTCATGGGAATCAGTGTATGTATGTATTCAAAGATTCAAGAGGATCATAGCACCCCCCCCCCCCCCCCTCACCTGTTTCTTTCACACATTTATTTTTAGTGTTGATTGATTGATGTATATATAAAATATTTTTTCTTATAGAAAAAAAGTAAAATTTAGTTAACTTCAAATTTATTTGAACACTCGTTATACGATTAATATGTCTGTAAAAAACTAGTCTCCCCATTCAATCTTATAAATCCCTTGAGCTCTGATCCAAGACTGTATATATTAGCCTTTTGAAGGGCAATATATATTATTACCAAATCATCAATGCCTCAGTCTATTACTGAATAATTAAATGTTAATTCCCACTTTAGCAACATAATGGACAGTTAAACACACACGCACACACACACACACACACACATGTATAGAAGTTATTGCAGAAGAAAATGGAAACAAGAATTTAGGTAGCATGAAAAATGGAAATTATGTGGGAAGATGAAAATATGAAAGTGGTGTGAATTTCAACGCAAAGGAAAGATAAGATAGGGATGATGATTATATATATATATGTGTGTGTGTTGACCAACAATTCAACCGCCATGGCCATCATCATCATCCGGTGGGAGTAATGGAGTATCCCGAAGTGGTGTCCATCGTCTCATTTAACTGCTAACTGCCCGCCATCAGCAGTCCTTTTTTCATTGATACATTTACACGGGCCCCTTAAAAAGAAAAGGATCAGAGCCCAGTTCATCATTTTTTAGGAAACCTAAACAAAGCCTTGCTATCAAAAACTTTTAATTTGAAAAGTTAAATATTTACTTAAATATTTATAAGGACAATCACAAATTAAAAATTAATTCTTTCTATTAATATCTTATTCTTCTTCCTCTTGTTTTACATAAAATATTACGTATTTTTAATATTTTTTTCATCAAATATATAATTTATATTTTATCAGTAGAATTTTATATTTTGTCACACATTTAGTAAATTTATGAGCTAAACCATATTATGATTTGGTAGTAGAAAATATATACATATAAGTAGAATTTTATTACCACATTCAACTACATCAATACATTTTAATTAATTTTCAAATTTAATCTTTACATTTATTTATATTAAAATACTCTGTATTTAAATACATGATTATTAATATGTACATTATACATAATATTAATATCAAATGTAATAATAACTAAAATAATTATTGCAATTATTTTTTATAAGTTACGTAGCTCTTATTTATTTGTTATTATTAATAAAATATATAAATAAACTTATCATTATTTACTACATAGATGTCTCTATAAATAAAATAGTAATAACCATTCTCTAAATGTATCATTTCTTGAGAATGGTTATTCGAGCAAGAATAAATTAGAAAATCCAACATTATGAGAATATTTTTATTTATATATTTCGGTATTTTTTATTATTTAAATATTTTAGCAAAATATGAAAGAATAATTTTTCAAGATTTCAAAAGTTTCAAAACTATCAAACATTAATATATAAATTCATACACGCGTGCACAAACTATTTTTTATTACATTTGAATTTTTTAATTAAATTAAATTAAAAATTTTGTGAAGAGGGCAAATGACGGGATAATACTGCACACGTCCATGATGACGTAACACACCGAGTAATCGTGATTTATCCCTTTTTTTTTTTAAAATATATATATATATATATATATATTTGCTAACAAACAAATCTGAGTTTACGAGTAATAATTAAAAATACAAATAATAAAGCAAATTAGCCTAATTTAATCCACCAAAGAACTTAAATCTGAGTATCGGTTATATAATTTGGATGCTCATAACTACGGTTAGAAAATTTCCGAGTAGCCAGTTTTGATTGAGAGAAATTAATAAAACCCAAATAAATCGATAAAAGGAAGTACACTGAAATGGCGTTGACCCAAACTGATAACTGAAAAGAACTTTTGCCGATTGCAAGAAGAGATTAAACTGCATCTACCATCTTCAAACTGAAATCAAGTGGAAATTGAGGAGTTTTCATCTTGAGATATTTTGATGAATTCCAAGCAATCAGAGATTGCATCTGAAACTGGGCAGTGTTGATATGATCTTGAGATACTGCAACCACTTCCATTTGGTATCAACAATCTTCTTCTACTTCTTATTCTTCTATTGTGCTTGTCCTTTGCCCCAATCTGATCATCACCAGTCTTCCCCATTACTCTCCTTGTCATACTTTTCTTTACCAGTTTTATGGCTTCCAAATATGGAAATTTGAGCTTGCTCAAACACCTGACCAATGGAAACAAACTTATCCGCAGATGTTGCACTGAGAAACGCCTTGGCTTTAGCCACCAGCCTCTCCGGATAATAACCCTGGAGTTACCCATGCCACTTTTTCTCATAAGCTTTTTCTAAGGAGATTAACGAAGCTTGTAGACGCAGAAGGAGCTGCCAATCATCGTTGTTATAGTTTCTTTTTAGAAACCAAAGGCTGCAAAATGCTTTATTTAAGCTCCCATCACTGCACTTTACAGTCCGTGTTGGGTTTTTGTTTGTCACTTGTTTTGTTGGTTTCTTTATTTGTTTTTCAGACTGAGGGATTTGTAAGACGACCAGAGAAGGAACAGGGTATATGTTTCAATATCACATGATCAACAGATTAGCCATTAACATACACATCATTTGGATATTGAGCCCACAGAAAACTATAGCTACTGCTTGGAATTTTTTGACATTTAGTGTAAAACGAGACCAGTGAAGAATTTCATTCAATGGAGTTTTTCCCAATTTTGTTTTATTTGTTTGAAATGGAAATATAAGGGCAGGGATAAATTAATGCATGACAGCGACCTTGCATGGACATATCTGAAATATCCAGCTCTCCAGCACCAACAGGGCAAATCAATCATCTAAATTTCTTACATATAAGTTTTTTAATGATAACGGGCTTATCTTCAGTGCCCAACCAAACAAAATGTACTACTAGTTGGGCTACTGTCATCAGATCCACCTCCCTAGTCACAAAGACCGACTCTTCGATTTTATCATATTTAAACACCATTATTGTCAAAAGGTGGACACAAAGATGAAGTGGAACGCTTGTGCCCAACAGTGTGCCCAATGGCGTATGTATTTAGCGAGCATCACATGCAACACACAATTCATTAATCATCATCTCCCCATTTAGGTTATGGACGCGAACATCTAAACCTATGTAAAACGCAACCCAGTAAGAGAGCCTTATCTCCCTGGCTACCCAAAAGTTTGCTACAACCACAACTCAATAACACCCCCTAAACCAGAGAAAGGATAAGACTCCGTTCTTAAAATCAAGTTTAAATCATCGGGCATCCATAATTTATGGATTCCAAAACTCTTTCTGAGGTGCAATGGAAATTATCTGCCTTGATATGGTTAGTCATTTGAATTCATTTAACAATCGCAAAAAAGATGAATGCTAGTTGGGGGCAAATGACTGATCAAAAGGACTGTGTTTAGTTCCAAAGGGCCTACATTTTTTCAAAGAAATTCCTACAGACCTACATGCCTTGATCTTTCCTAAGAATTTTAATTGATCCCTATACAGGAAAATTGATTGACCTGACTCATGACGCTAAGGAAAAGTTCAGAGCGATCCTTGCTCAAAGGGAACTCGTACATATAGTCGGCCATGCAGGCTAACAACAGCAGATGTCTGAAGCGGATCAATTCTTGCAGGTAAGTTGACAACCTGAAAAGCACAGCTCTAGTAAGGCAATACAGAAGTTTTATTTTTTCCAAATTTCTAGCTTTTGTAAATAGCTTGAATACTTTATGCTACCAATAGCTAAATTGTAATGGTATCACGAACATAGGATAGTGTTAAGTAGTGTGAGAACGAATAGGTTTGCTTTTAGGTTCCATTAACAGTAGCTAGATATCTTCATACCCATAATCCTCAGGTAAAGTAGAATGAGGGTCTCATTCAATTGTGTTAACAAATTGGAGAAAATACCTTCTTAAAGGGTGTAATGCCCCAAGGATTGTCAATCTGCTCTGGTTGACCTGTTATAACCAATCGTCCAGCTGGGTCAGATTGAACTCGCACCTGAAATGGAGTAGCGGAAGAAAAGGTTAGCACAATAAGCTAAGCAGCAATACTGAAATAAAACACAACTGCCATCCAAAATACCCATTAGGGCATAAAATTCATTTTCAACTCTGTACACACCATAAGATGAGTGAATAATACCACCCACCACTTAAACTAAAAGATAATCTTTTTTGAGAAGTATCTCTCTTTCTCTCCAGAATAGTAAGCTAATCATCTTGGAAAGAAGAATGATTTAACATGCCTGTATATATATCCTAATGAACGTTGATTGACTTACCTCTTCACGCAGAAGCCCAGGGACCAATGCATACACCTCGAAACAATCTTTCTGTACATTCAGGAATGTGCAACTGATTAGAACTTGACATTGTAACAATGAGCAATTTCTCCAGAGGTGTGCCAAGGTGGGAGAATTGATTGTGAGGACAACGAGGAAAAAATAAACACACACTTACACTTTCACGCACGTTTATCTTCACCCAGTCAGCAGGGGGGCCAACATCAACAATTTCTGTGATCACCCTATCGAGCAAAAACCATGAAACTCTTGTTTTGATTTTTTTTTAAGAAAGAAGAAAACAATCTAGAACATAGGGCTATATTCGGGATATGAAAATACTTCTTAGTTCTCATTTTTCTACACAGATTTTACACGTGTTTTTCTCTGTGAGTATGCATGTACATATGTTCAGTTATATGCATATAACACATTTATATGTACTATGTATGTGAGCATGAATACAATTCCAGCATATATATGTACATATGTGTGCACATGCTTTTATAGATACGTAAGCAAGCACAAATATGCATGTATATATACATATATGTAAATCTCATACTAAGTTCAGAGAAAAACAACTTTCTAGAAAAAAAAACTTTAAACAGTTTTTTGGTTATCTTCAAAGTCATGCCATATTGTTATTTCATTTTTAATAACTATTTTCATTTTCAACTAATGTACATATTTCTTCACCAAAATATACAAAATAAGAACTTGAAAAAATATTTTCATATATCAACTGCAGTCTAGTTTTCTCCAGCATTTATCAAATTTGCTCCTTCATTCTTGTCGGTTCTTTTGCCTTTCCTTCTCCCCGTCTACCAATGAAGGTCATGTTGGTTGACATCTGCATATAAAATACTAACATTCCTTGCAGGATAATGGATCAGAAGAATCAGCTGGGTGAAAAGCATCAGTATTTTTCTTCCTTTCTTTATTACTATTATTGTTTTTGCTAATAAAATATCTTTTTGCTTTTTTTATGAATACTAGGTGTTTGGACGGCAGTTGAACTCTCCCCACAAAATATTTTCCTTCTGAAGGTTGAACTTGCCCTCTCAAGGTTTTTCTCCAACAAGCATGCAAAGATATAAACATGTCCAGGAAACGATGCGATGACTAATGCAAAGGACCACAGTCTTGGCCAACATTCAGGAGAACGTACCACGGAAATAATCACAGCTTTCCCATTGTAAGCATTAGTCATTGTATATGAAGAAGGAAAAGTAGAAAGCAACAAAAGAAAGAGTTAAAGCACAAATAATTGCGACAGAAATCTTAACTGCTTATCTGCTTCGCTATTTCCATGTTTCTCGTGATGCTCGAAGTTCGTAGCTGTCTTCTGTTTTTGTAAGCCTGGCTCAACAAAATGAAGCACAAAATGAGCTGCTGGCATTAATATCTGTTGGCAGGCAGGATCTTAATGACATACCAATGCTTTTGAGATGTTTCTCACGCCTTGATGTTGAATTTAAGCTCCTGTCCTAAACAAGTTAAAATACAAATCATAATTTTATTATTTTAATTATCATGTAAAAATATGCTACATGCACAGAAACCATGATAACAAGGTATGGAGTTTACACAGACCTTAATAATAGGCTCGGTAACCTCACCATATCCAAGAAGACGTTGAGCATGCCAACCCTGCATAGCACGAGCTGCAGCATCTCTTCGTGCCCTACCTGACCCTGAACCTTGGTGGCTGCTTACCTAAAGGGACAACTCATGAATTTAGAGAAAGAGATAGAAGGAGAATATTAAAAAAAAAAAAAAGCGCTCCGGACAAGAAGTATATCTAAAATATAAGTTTTTGTTTACTAGAAAGCTTTATATCTTTCTATAGGTATGTCTGTCCCCTTGAGATGATGGGTGTTTGCATACATGCAGCAATATGCACAAAGACTCAGCAAAAAAAATTAGGAAAGGCTGCACATACAAATTCATAATATGCATATTGGATGCCTACTTACTAATAGTGAATTCATATGCCTTCAAGAAAATCAATGAATATAGTTAGTCTCAGAAGAAAAGCAATTGCAACATAATTGCAACGACTGTCATCTCCATTGGACTATCAAAAGAACCAGAAAACTTAAAACATGAAATCGATATCACTAAACAACAGACACAAATCTGCAACAGCAAAAATTTGGTCAAACATATACACCACATAGGAAAGCTTCCTTCCTGTAGTTTTTGCCCTTTTTCAGTTCCATAATAAAATGGTTAGAGACAGCACCCTTTTCAATGAAATAGAAGCAAGAGAGGAAGCGAAATCTACATTCAAAGATAATTTGTTCAGTTTTACAAGAAAAAAACTTTACTGCAGTAGAAGTTTTAGATGTGTTTCAATAAAGGAACCCAAGAATACAAGGTTCTTCACTTTCATAATGGGTACTAGATTCAAGTTTAAAATGAAATAATCAGTGAGATCTTGTTAGCTCCTTGACATTTTCCTTCATGTCAGGGATTATTAATGCATGCAAAGACTCCCAAGATATAAATACTACTAATAGTCAATAATTCTGAATAAGGACCCTTCCATCTGCAGACAATCTCATATTTCAGAAACTTAAAGACAGAAATTCCAAGTTGAGAAATTTGAGCATACTGCATCAGCTCAGGTGAAATGTTATTTCTTCCCTTAATACATCTTGAGAACCAAACACCCAGATAAAACATAAAGGTTTACTTTAACTAACTGCCAACTCCAGAAACAGTGCTTGAGATTCCCAGAACACCTATCAAGAAAGAATTATCTTTTTTCCCCTGGAAATAACTCAATAAAATTTTGCAAAACAATGAAATGCATTCTTCTTTCTACTCATAGGGGGGAAAAAAATTAAGAAATGATTATCTGGTCTTGAGAGTATTTTCCCTCTTTATTCCTCTAGTTCACTGTTCAACATTATTATGGATTTTTAATTTACACCAAAACATATGTTTCCTGTTCATGCTGGAAAAAATCATTACACGAACCTGCTAATTGTAGATGTGACCGCATTTATTTCCATTCTAAATCTAACTCACCATGTCAAGCAACTAATTTTTGCTATGAACTCCAGAATAAACAGAGCACACAAGCCCCAGCCCTATACTTTACCTACATCATATACCATCCAACATGGGGACCAAAACATTAAGCAAATGCCAGTCATAGCCACAGAATTAAAAGACATCTTGAAAAAATAATAAAGCTATACCTCCTTTTCAACAATGGAAGGCTGAGGAAGGGATGAACCAGGAAGATGAAGCTTGCCATTTTGTCTCTTATGCTTTTCATATTCCAAAAGTGCCTGTACTTAAGAAGGTAAGAGAAAAGGAAAAAAGAGACAATTTCTTCTGTACGTGAAAGAATATTTTACCATTAGAGAGGGATAGAGAAATAAAATAGTCGAGGACCAGGTGTCCTCCCAAAATGGAGCAGCAAAAAAGGAGAAAGATCTGGGCAACAAAATCCAATATAAAACAGCCCGCTATTCTCCATGCAAGTAGATAAAGAAATATCCTAATAGAGGCGAAGTTCATTAGCCCAAAGTGGTGCCAAAAAGTTACTCTATCCTAGAGAAATAAGTATGGAAAGAATGATACTTAAAAATCCTTGCTTTTCTGTAGCCACAACACCCATAAACCAGCAAATAATGCTTCCCTCTGCCCTCCCACCAAAACACAATCCAAAGCTATTCCCCAAGTTGATCTATCCAAAAGTCCTTCCAAGCCCATTATCAATTTGATCAACGGAACAAAAGAGCCATACAATTGAAAACTAGCATACCAAGGGCTTCTGTGATCTGTTTTTTGAATCCAAAACCATTTTGGTAAGCCCAAACTTACCCTTAATCACCTTATGCTGCCACAAAGTTAGGTTCCAAAAAAGACATAATTATTTAGCCAAAAAAAAAACAGGTTTTTGCACAAGGTTTGCCCATAACCCTATCCTTCTTTGGACAATACTAAGCAATCTTTAAAGTCTCTCTTGCATCAAGAAAAGAAAATTCCCCGTCACTCTTTTCATATTCTTAGCCACACTCCCAGAAAACTTAAAGAGAGATACTACATAGGAATGCTAGAAAGATGCACTTAAATAAGAGTGACATGCCCACGAAGGGAGAAAAAGCATCTTTCCAACACTCAAGACAGTTAGAAATTTACAAAACACAGGATTCCAAAAAGTGGGATATGAGGATTAACCCCAAGATGGACCACCGATAGATAATAGGCCAAGCTAAGAGATCATACCCTGCTGACTTGCCAATAGCTGTAACAAAATTGTCCTCCATACCAGCAATAACTAAACAATACTAATTAAGGTCAATGAATAAACATGAAACACAATCCAACAGTTGTAGGATAGGTAATGCATTCAAAGACTTACCAGAGCCAGGGGTGAGAAAAAGAATAGTATCATTGACAAACTAGAGATGGGAAATCTCTATCCTCTCATGCCCCATACACAAGCCCCACTGTGCAACTCTCTGAATCCCTAACTTTAGACATCCACAACTAACGTGAAAATAAACAAGAAGAGGATCCTCTGGTCTCAACCTTCCCTACAAACAAAACCAAGATCTAGGCTTCCCATTGACCAAAACTGCAAATGATACTGAAGAAAGGCAACCTAAAATTCATCTCCTCCACTTAAAGCCAAAACCTTTCCTCAACAAAACCTTGTCCCAAAAACTCCAATAAACACTGTCAAACACCTTCTCAAAATCGAGTATAAAAACAAATCCTTGTTCCTGAATCTCTTAACACCCTTCAAAAATTCACTAGCAATAAGGAAGCAATCTAGAATTTGCCTATCCACCATGAAAGCACGTTGATGGCTTGAAAAAATAACATTTAACATGTTAATCTCAAAGAAAGCACTTGCAACTATCTTATAAACACTAGTGATCAAAATAATAGAGTGTAACCTAAAAATGATAAAAGTAGAATTCACGTTAATAGTAAGTTTACAATTCTTTCTTATTTATAAATTTTTTTTGAAAAAAAAAAATTAATTTTACCATTCAAATGAAACTCCTCAAACACCTTGAGCAAAGTCCCCCTTAGTAATATCCAAACAATTCCATACAAAATCCACAGTTAGATCATCAGACCTGGGAGCCTAATCCAAATCAAAAGTTCTTGTATCTTCTCTTGAAAAGGCCTTTCTAATCAATAGGCTTTCTCCCCATCACTAGAGTGCTCATTAAGACCCTCAATAAGCAGGCAAGCGTCAAACTCATCCACATAAAGACTCTTAAAAAAATCATTGATCTCACACCCGATAACCTCTGATCTCTCTCAAGTCTCAAGTTTTCCATCCTCAAGCTCCAACTCCTTGATACAATTTTCCTCCTCCTAACATTAACCGCCCAAGAGAGAAGACCAGAATTTGCAAATCCACTAGCTTGACCCATTAAATTTTTAATCCTGCCTCCAACTAATTTGTTATTTTTCAAGGAAGGCAATTTCAGTATTTCATCCTCATTAGGAACAGTAAAGGAAGCAATTATGTCAAGAAGAGATAAATAATCAAGAATCTCATTTTCCTTTACTCTCGCATCATCAGAAACCCCCTTATTCCAGTCTTTCAGCTAATCCTCAATGAATTGAAGTTTCTGCATGAACTTGAATCTTTCCTACCCAACAACCAGCCTTTCTTCCACCACTCCCTAATGTCCTCAAGAAGTGAGAGCAAACTTATAATGAATGATAAAAAGAGAATAACAGAAGAGAAAGAGTGTAGGTTTAGCCACCTATGCTCGAAGAAAATAGCTAAGATCACCATAATCATCATCCTCATCTATCTTACAAAGTCAAGGATGACCAAGAGAAGAAATTAATCAATTTTTACCCTTCTTTTCCACAATTATGGTCAAGAAATATTACCTTCTCATAGAAAATGCGAAATGTCCAGGAGACAGTAGTGCATGTCCTGTGATACAGAGAAAGAAACGAAAAGAGTTCAACCAACAGAATATGCATTGAAGAGCATATTGCATTCAGCTAACACTCGGGATGACTTTTAGTGACTATTATAGCTTAAAACAGAAGGATGTTAAAATAAAAGGGGGAAAAAAGAATTATTTGATTGCTTAAAATTACAACCCCGCTTCCCTCCCACACCTTAGGCCACCAGGAAGGAAAAGGAGAAGAAAAAAATGAGAGACAGAATAAAGTAAAATATAAACAGCAAAGATCACAAGCCTAAGACATAAAATCGATTCAATTCCCAATGAATGATCATCCATACTTTGGAGGATGGAAAGACTCTCCAACTTGCCGCCACAACTTGGATGAAGTCACCTGCAGATATACAAATAGCAAATCATACTTTTGAGAACAGCAGATTTGCAGATACAACTAAGCTTCCAGTTCAAATTTGAAATCAGGTTTAGAATATGTAAAAATAGGAACACATTTAATTAACTTTAAATGGTATTGCACCTGGCCTTTATAGTATTTGATTTGGGAAAATATGAGCACATTTTCTTCAAACTGTAAATGAATAAATAGAAAACAAAGTGCATTGCCTGGAACTGGTGACTGCTCAAGTTTGAGAAGGACCCTTTTAGCCTAGTTAATAATTCTGAATACAAAGGATAATTCTGGAATTGGTGACTACTCAAGTTTAAGAAGGACCCTTTTAAGGATCATTTTTCACCTTCTTTGCTTCCTGGTAGGATAACATTCTTGGTGTCTCTGTAGGGTAAGGTGCATATTAGTATGTTTGTTTGCCTATTTTACACAGATATTTGGCAGTTCTTCTCTACTGAGTCCACTTTACTGACCTGTCTTTCTCCTTTTGGGAAGAAAACCAGTCCTCTATTGTAGTTTTACTTTTCTCTAAAGAAATACTTCTTTTTCTATAAAAAAAAAATTGATTGAAAAGGTCCTACATTTACTAAACATTAAAAGCTTCTTTCTTTTGTGAGTAATTTACTCTCAGTAGAAGGTAATTTTTCATTCCAATTACTGATCAGAAAGCACTAATCTTAATTTTTAATTACTTATCATTTCCTCCACATAATCATATTAAGAGATAGTCTGATGTTACAATCTGAAGGAGCTAAATTTAGTAAAAAGACAATGGCCTAGGTGCAACTTATTTAAACACGTTCCATGGAGACGAAATCAGGTCAGGCTTATCTTAGCCAATCAATGTAATATCAGAACCAATTCAAATTATTCATGCCCAGTGATACATTTCTGGCCAGACCAGATTCCAGAACCAATGACACCCCTCAAGCCATAATCCTGATTTCAGATGAAATGATGCACCAGCAAGTGGAACCACCTTTCCAGGCCTTTTAAATGCATATATAGCCCCAGCTCCACAATGATTTCTTATGCATAGCCTCAACTAGAACTGGCACTCATTCCCCGCATAAAATTTTTTTAAAAAAAGATACTATCACAATCCAGTTAGAGTATTCCATTAAGTTAGTTCCTTGCCCCCAAACTGCTATCACCTATCTATAGGGTGTAACCTAATTTACTAATACAAGAAACAAATGCATCCAATCCGCTAAACCTCTTTTGAGAAAATAATATCATCAAATCATGATGCCATGGATAAAGTCTGGATCATATTTTATCGTTTTCTTGTTAATGTTATACACAGATTGGTCTCTAGCAATAATAAAAAACTGTTAAAAATTGTAATGGACATGAAGATTAGTAGAAGGATATGCATACATACCACATCATAGCCACCCAATGAAATGACAGCTCTCCATAACCTACATCCGACAGTAGAACATGCAGAAATCAGGACACAGTAAAAATCACAAACACAGAATTCCAAACTTAAAGCAATAGTCTTTGGTGCTTTACTTAAGGCAATTTAGTGGCTCCCCATAGAACTTAGGAGCTTTAAATTCCAGTGCATTCTCCTTATAGAAGTTTTCCAGCTCCCTCATGAATGCTAGTCGTTCCTCTGGTGTCCCCGCTTCATCAGCCTCTCCCATCTGTAACTCAAACAAGAAATAAGTGGTCAAATAGAACCCTTGATTAACTGTACAGGTCTCATTTCCATTCATTATATGCTATTTGTGCAAGTTTTACTTAAATACCTCAGAATCACTCAACAGCCAATTATTGGACTTTCCTACACTTCCGCCTCCAAGTTTAGGAGTCAAAGCCAACGGCTCCTCTTTAGGACTAGTAGTTGAAGCGTCCCCTTTTGAAATAGGATTTGAAGGTTCCTCTTTAGGAATGGAAATGGCAGTTTCTGGCTCATTTTCAGTAAGGGTAACATCACCATTCCTGTTATCTGCCTGTGGCTCCTCAGGTCCAGCAGCAATGGTGTTTGCATCAGCAGGGACTTTATCAACAGATGCATCAGGCAAATCTTGACTGTCAGTTATATGTACATCACTAGGCAACGTAAGGGTCTTATCATTTGGCAGGGCAGAAGACTCTTGCTCTTGAATGCTAGCATCGACAAGTTCTATTTCTGAACCATCAGGCAGCTCTGGCCCGGGCATTTTAGTATCCCCCATCTTGTTTGTACTGATTGCACAGTGAAAATGTAATATAATAGTTAGCATCATTCTAAAACGGATATGGTAGGTTCAGAACAGTATAGGTGGTTGTCCATAATAAGTCGTAAAGAGAAAAATAAACACAGGAATTAGGATTCGTAGTAATATATGTGGACTGCCACAACCTAGCAAAAGCAAAGCGAGGGGAAAACTTGGCTGAGCTGCTTTTGCAATTAGTTTATACCCCTATCCGAATGATAGTTCTTCCCAGAAATCACAGAGTGCTGGGGAAAATCAAACCCTAACCTTTCCTCCACCTATTTTTGAAACAAGGACGAAAAAAAAAAGATAACTGAGAAAACACGGAAGGTATACTGGTTTTTCAGCGACCGCCTTAGTTTCCATTTCAGAAAGAACAAAACTGAGGTCTTAGTTTCCAATTTTCCTGCTTAAAATGAACCCGAGAGAGAGAAAAAAAATCCAGGGGGGAAAAAGGAACCAACAAAAAAACAGGTACAAAATCCATGAACCGCATACATAGTTAAAGAGCCTCAAGTACAAGAAAATGTAGGAAAAAAAAAAAAGTTTCAGAAAAGGGAAAATGTGCAAGAAGCTTGCCTGGGGCGGAGACACAACGAGCAGAAGTTTCGAACGAAAGTAAAGGCCAAACGGCGTCGCACTAGGAATTAGGGTTGGGAAATGACAATGAGAGCAACGGAAGCGGTGGGAAAATAGAAATGAGATAGAGAGGAATTAATAAGCAGAAAACATAGAAAGGAGATACCTTTCATGGCAGGTACAGGTGGAATACCATGGAGAGGCAGGGCCACTGCTGGCTCTGCAGATTGGAGGGAGGAGTGTTCTTTTTCTTTTTCTTTTTATTTGTTTGTTTGTTTTTTTTTGTTGGGAAGCTATTTTAGATATTTAGAGATAAATTAAAAATATGAGAAATAAAAAGTATTTATTATTTTTAAGATAAATAAAGAGAAGTAACAAATACCCAAATTAAAAAGAGAGCAAAACCCAGGGAGGTTATGCTGCACGCAGAGTGGAATAAACGACTATTAAAACTTACTGAACTTATTTTTTAACTCATTAATTTTATTTTAATTAAAACGATGTTGTTTTATCCGAATACAAATTAATTCTGAAGATTATTGTATGATTTAAAAAAATAAAATATTGGTTAAAAGGTTGATTGTAATGAAAAATAACTATTTAAGAAGTTAACTGAAAGTATCACTCCTCTTGTTTCTCAGTCAAATAAATAACTATTATTTATAAAATAAAACTGTAATTAGTATTATAGCACGAAACAATCTTTTTTTTTTTTAAAAATAAATAAATTATATATTATCTTTCTATCACTCATCAAATATTTCATAGAAATAGAATCATTATATAAATATTTCATATTATTAATTACTTTATTTAAAACATTATGATAAAATTGCTATTTAGTCTCTCAAGTATTCATTAGATATAATTAGGTTTTAATTTTTTTTTGTTATAATTTTACCTTAAACTTGTAAATTTATTTTAATTTATAATATTTTTTAAATAGTAAAAACTTCAACAAAAATTATTTATATTCTATCATAGTTTATTTTTAATAAAATTTGAAATTATAATAATTAAATACTAACATTATGTAAAAACTTAAAAAATATTACAAGACTTAAAAAATTAAGTAATTTATTTTATTTAAATAATACAGATGATAACGATATAAATTAATAAATAAAAAAAACTTATAATGATAATAATTTATTTTTATTTTTTATTTCTGAAGAACAGTATTATTTTTATAAAAAATATATAAACTTTATTATTTTTATAAAAAAAATTTATTAAAAATATTATAATTTAAAAATAATTGCATAATTTACATATTAAATATATTATAACAAAAAAATTATAACTACACTATTCTTGTCAGTAGTCCTTTTTCTTATTTCTGGTGATCTAATACTCGATATTGCAATAGACTCCCGTCCTTTTCAACGATGGTAAAGGTTTTAAAGCCAATCAAACGGCTCAAGAAACTGAAAGGGATTAACCGAAGTTAGGGTTTCGTCAAGAGGCTTCCTCGGATTTCATATTCAGCGGTTATTTTCCCTGCAATTCTTCCGTTTGAGGTATTTGCTCATTCTATTTGGTTTTCTGGTGCAATATTTTCTTCTTCAGTCTCATTTACTTTTACTTTCCGGCTCCTGATTGGTTAAATTATTACTAGATCGCTTAAGATTTTAGGGGAATCGAGAACAGAGAGAGTTTTGCATTATTTTTCGTGAAGAAATTTGGGGCGGGAGAAACTGAATCAAACTTTGCCTGCAAGTTGCTAATTCGATACTTTATTAGTTCGCGTATCTGTTGATTTACTGCCGCAACAAATGGAAGATTTGAAGCCTAAACATCGTAAGGAAGAGTCAGATAAGAAGGAGGAGGATTCAAAGAGGAGTCATCGTGATCGTGATAGGGAGCGTGAAAAGGAGAGAAATGGAGAGAGGCATCGGGATAGGGATAAGAGGGATCGTGAAAGTCGGCGCTCTGAGAGAGAGAAGAGTACGGACTCTGATGAGAAGTATGACAGAGAGAAGGATAAGGAGAGGGACAAGTACAGGGACAAGGACAGGAGGGGTCGGGATGATGATAGAGACAGGACAAGGGACAAGAAGAGAGATAGAGATAGGGATAGAGAAGATAGAGATAGAGAAAGGGAGAGAACTAGGGATAAGGAACGGGAGAGAAGGGAACGGGGCAGGGAAGAACGGGAGAGGGAGAGAGAGAGAGAAAGGGAGAGGAGGGAACGAGAC